AAAATGAATGAAGAAAAAGAAGAAGGGGGGTGAGGTGGTGAATAACTGGTTTTTTGTACAAACAAGGTACTCCAAATAGGTGCCCGTCTCAAAATTAAGACTTTTTTCTATTTATTCACCGATTCAAAAATGTACTCACTCTATCACATACACACGTCCGTAGTCGACCGAAGCTCGAACCGGCGGACTTTCGTAAGATGACTATGAAACTGCGTCTAAAGTCCCGTCAACGGAACAGCCACCAACCAGTCAGGGTCACTCTCGGAAGCAGCTTTGTTTATGTCATGACGTCAGACTAAAACAGACAGTGGGTGGGGGGAAGATGGTAGTAGATGGCACTCTAAGCATTTTGAAGAAAAAATCACAATTTTGAATCAATCGTTTTAATGAAATTTGATTTTCAAATTTGGGCTGATTTTTTTCATTCCAGAAGCAAATTTAGATTTGAAATAATACCCGAACTCCATATTTTGTGTAAAAAATGAAAAGAATAGAAGTAACAAGTAGTTGAATTAAACAAAACAGAAAGTATTTACTTTTTTTGAGAGTTGAATTCGCAATTGATCTCTTACTCGAATTCTTTGAATATTTAAGCAATAAAAATAAATCTCCAGGATTGGCCATTTGTTACCCTAAAATCGATGATTTTGTCGGACGTCAGACGCGACAGGTCTGTAAAATAATAAAAAAAAACACGAAATTCTAATCTTGATAAATCGGTGATTTCATTAGTAGTATTGTATAACATTGGTAGTACTAGTATAACATTTAAATATTAAACGAATCTTGTCTGTTCCGTTGCATAGCAACGATTTTCGAAGAACAATAAACATTCCGAAGCAAAGCAGGTGGATCTGCTCATCTTCAGAGAATGGCGGCTGACAAAACTCTAGCTCGCTCAGGACTTTATTTCGATGAACTCAATAAAATTAGAGTTCTTGAGCCAGAAGTTGCTCAGCAAACAACAGAACTGAGAGATGAATGCAGGGGCTTCGTTGACAGTGAGTAAAAGTTATGCAAACTGAGTCAGTGCGCATGCAAACGCACGCCGTTCTCTAGCGACAATCTTTTAATTCAGATTCATCATTCTTCAGCTAGAGTTAACACAAGGAACAAATTTTTCATTTTTTTTGACAGAAATAAACGACTTTCATGAGCTCGCGGATCATTTTATGGGAGTAGCGGATCGACTTAGAGATGCTGTTGAAAAAGAGAAGCTATCGGCTTTGGGTGCGAGGAATATGCTGAAAAGTATCAGCAAACAGAGAGAAGCACAACAACTGCAGTTACAAGTACGTGTGTAACTCAAATCTTTGTTGAAAACCTGGCTGTTATCTGTTCATATTCCAATATATATATGAGACAGCATAAATGTTAATTGCCTGATTGAACATGATTTGTTATTCTTATAAATCTTGACTATTTTCTCGAAAACCATTTTTTTTTCTTCTTCCAGGCTCTTATTGGTGAGAAAAAGCTTGAATTAGAGAGGCTACGCATACAACACGACTCTCTGCAGCAAACAGAAGCAGAACAACAAGAGTTCATTGAGCAGTTCATCACGCAGAAGTAATAGCATGGCATAGTGAAGTCGGCGCTGAAGTATTGGCCTGATGTGGCCTGTCGCTGAGTATAAAATTGCTACATTAACCCCACAGCCGTCACCATCGTTCGATTTAGCGAATGTTAGTAATCGTCAACAAGTTGGAAGGATACAACAAAAATAGAGGCGACTTTGAATTCTTATTTCAATCATAAGAATTCAATCTATATTGTAAATTATCGAAATTTGACAATCAAAGTCCCACTATAGATGCAATAAAGGCAAATAAAATTATCGATAAACTGAGAAAACGTATAATTACTGATCGTGGACACAGATGGCACGTTATTTTAGTGAGCAAAGCGAAGTTAGAAAACTTGCATCGACAGGTGAGCTTATTTTTCTATGGCGAGACAAAATCTTGAACAGCACAAGCAGCCAAAGCAATAATAAAACTTAAACCTAAAAACGAGTTTTCTTCAAACCTTCAAGAAACTTTGAATTATTTCTATTGTTGGGATGAATGAGTTAAACAAAAAATAAGTTTCTAGAATAAAGAGGGCAAAGTCAGACAATTTTTGAAGAGAAAAATCATGTAAATAGTACGCTAGGAGGTTAATTGTAAAGCCGTTCGCTAGAAAAAGCGCTCTTAAAAGCCTTCAAAAAAAAAAGCTTGAACATCACACTGAATGAATTACGCAGCAAAGATCAACCCAATAGAAGGAAAATTTGCGCTAAGTATTGAAAAAAGAATGACATTTTTACACAAATTTCATCAATTAATCCTTGCCATACTGCATCATTTTACAATAATTATGTGAGCTTAGGTACAATTGTACCTATGACACAATTGATAACAATTAATTTATTTAGCATCATTGAATGTTCGTGAGGTAGAGCATCAGGAGTCGGAGTCCTGTAAAACAAAACCTAATACTAAACAATGATATTTAAAACACGTCATTTTAAAACATAATCGCACGGTGCCATTGATATCAAACTCAGTCACCTTTAATTCGTGGCAAGCTATCACTCTTGAATCTTTTAATCCACCTTAAATATAAATACCACAAAATCAGGTAAAAATTCACTTGAAACGTATTCACGTATTAATTCAACTAAACAAATCACATAACACTTCTGAACATAGTTTGACAACGACCCCAGAGCAATGGCTGGTTTAATGGTAACCGCGCCTCGCTGGCATGCAGCAAGCTTGTTAAAGACGAATTATTTAAAAGTATTACATTATAAATCGTAACTTACTGCAGTAAACATATCTTAAGCTAGCCATAATCGATACTAAATTAACGCATTATTGATAAGGTATTGAAAACTAAACAAATTTCTCGGCTACAGAATACGCGGTTTAAAGCACCCAGGGAAGGAAGATGAGAAGAAAAGCAACGCGGCAAACAGTAATCTTGCATCAAAGCAGATTGGTGTTCACAACACAAAATCGTGAAAAAGGCTTCAAACAGAAGGAGTACCGCACGATTTTGCTAAGATTAAGAGGTATCTTGCTCACAAATCTAAATTGTTCATCTTCACATTACTCAAGTAATTGAAGTTTTAATTAGCTGTAACCATTTTCAACTATTCACTTTATACATAACATAAAAATCAAAGTGCACTCAAATCAAATAAAAAATTCATATAATTAAATTTTCCTCACACGAGGCACGCTTATATGTATCACTTCGAATTATTATGTCAAGGTAGTCGACAGCTATCGGCATTCTAGGAATAGGACTTAGAACTATGAAGTTCTAACATATCCACAAGAATTGTCAGAATAATATTTGTCGAAAAATATGCAATGGAAGCAGCAAGAATCTCGGACAAGTATGAAGATAACACAGAAGCCCGATTTCAGGTATTGAAGCGAATCACAGATAAGGGCTAGAACTCAATTTGTACTTTCTTGAACTTTTTGCATGCTTTTGTCGTCTCTGAGCAAGTGCTAAATCAAGAGACAAACTTTTCAGACTAAATTATCTTCCACAAATAATCAAGTGATAAAAAATATCTGGAAAATAATACTTTACAATGAAAAGATCTCATTTTGCACCACTGAATCTTACTTAGCAATAAATTATAAATAAATAACACAGCCAAAGAATATGCGGACAAAATTGCTTGACATGGAAATGTAGATGCGAAAGGAGTTTCATCATCTGTACAGAAAGTCGTTGAAATAAAAGGTCAATTCACGGTGCTGCTGATAGGCAGCCCACAAAACTGGAACCCTTCAGAAGGTAAAAGCATCTACTATGGAATAATAGAAATGAGCGGCTTAATATGAGGCCACAGCAAATGTCATCGCACATGGAATATGCCGAATGTGTAGAATATTGATTTTTCGACAAGGTAGGGAAAATAATTCCGTCAGCAGTTATTTCAGACATAAATGTCTGAGAAAATACAGCCATTTGCACTGATGAAACAGAATGAAAATAAAATTAGCTTAAAATAAACGGAAAATCAACACTCCAAAGACCAACCACCCTTTCACTATTTACATAAGCAAATGAATTATTCTCCTAAAGAAAAATGTACTAAATAAAAAAATTAAACGCTAGAACAAGAAACGAACAATGCCGGAAACTTAAAGTAATGAAGAGCTAACGCAGCACACACATAGTACAATAACAGTAAATCTACCGATTGCATTCTGCTCAGTAAAAGGATTGATGGTCTAAAGCAAGCCTCGACAATCTTATCAATCGACAATCAAACACAGGATGGATGAGGTCCTTCCGTTCGCATACCATGGATCACAATGCGGGACGCCAACTGACAGAACACACTGCCCACAGCTACACGTAAGATTCGTTACTATCAAATAAAGTCTTGCCAATATACTACAATCCTAGACATAAAATCCAGTAGAGCGCATAACCAATTTTAAAGCAATCAATGAAGAATATAGAACTGTGCAAGTTCAAATTAGGAGAAGAGGAAGCATTTTACAGATAAAGTTGGGAGTGGAAATGTTCCAGGAACAACATAAATACTGGTTGTGTGAGAAGATAAGAACAGTAATCGTCAACATTTTGCTCATGAAACCATGAGTAATGAGCTTCTAGGTTATCGAAAAGAGAGTAAGAAGTAGTAAGTAGTAAAAAAAATTCTTACAACCGAATTCTCGAATTTCGGTAGTAAGAAGAGCCTGACATTTATGAATTTCAAGAGAGACCACTTCAAATGCAGGAATGGCAGAATAAAAAACGCTCGTCACAGCGCACGAAAGTGACCGATGAGGTGGAGTTTAACAAGGAAGCTCGAGTTGCAGATACAAGTCTGAGTTCGATGAAGGTCTAGGACACAATTTGTTCTAGAAATCGAACGTTTATAAGTTTGGAATAGGTTATGTGTTGGTTTGTCCAGCAATTTGAACCTCGAAATTCAGTAGCACGCTTAACAACCCCTCCCCATGGGTTTGGGGACTTCTTTCACGCTTATACATAGTAGTGTATAGACGATCTTTCCATTTTAATCGCGTAGAGGTAGGTTCACAAGTATTTTACAACATTCCAGCCTAACATGATCTTCTGTTAGCGTACTCTGTGTTAATCTTATCTAAATGCCTGATTACCAGGGTCAATGTTTCAGGATAAATGGTCAAACATAAAATTTTCGAGTGAAAAACCAACAGGACGGTTAGTTAATGACAACGGAAATACAGTAGATACGACACTAAGGAGAAAACGTACCTAATTAAAACACTATGCTAACGAAGCAACTGAATATTCTTTGTTCATTCAGAGAATAATTTTAGAACACGCAAACAAACTAAGATCAACAAAACATGTTACATGAGTAAATGGTTACGGGTCACAAAAACATGAGACTACATCTTCCCCAGATGAACATTTATCTGATTGAAGTTTAAATAAAGCATTGAGATCTTAGGAGATTTACCGATTGGATAAACAAGTTTACCAAACTCTAGAGCAGACATGCAATAAAAATAAAAACAACAGCAATAAAGATTGGTACCAATACATTTGATTTCAGATGTTTAAAGATAAAAAATAAGAAGTCATTTCACAGCCCATATAACCACAAAACAATTTTCTTAAGATTAAATCTAAGGTCTTCGAAATACAAAATATATATACCATGCAAATTTCAATGTATGAAATAATTCTACCAAAACTCTCAATGAAACTCAGTACATGACAGACTCATTTCCTTGACACCGACAATAAAAATATCAGAAAATAGAGCGACGGACGTAATCAAACTTAGGGTCAAAATTATCGTAAAAAGACAGATAAGACCAATAACTTAAGACTCAAGATTTCCAGACACACAGCGAGATTTTGTATTATTCATCTTTTTCTGTCAAACGATGCCTGATGTAACGGGTTCAGGGCGACGTCACGCAAGCAGGAAGTTGGTTGTGACGCAGGTGTCGCAGAGCTCTTTTAGCTGCAGTGCTTTTTGCTATGCGGTAATTACGACCAACGCCACAGAAGCTTCCTTTGCCAAAAATTTCGACGCTCACGCGTACCTGAGACAAGAAACATTATATCCAGTTAGTTTACACATCTATTGAATTAAAACAATTAAGTCAGATCGACGTAAAAGCATAGTCATCTCAGCAGTACCGGAGAGATATGACTCAATGTTTTATCCTAATGCTGAACTCTCGCCACATATTCCTAGATAATCCACTATTTAAATTATAATTTCAAACATCATGGAGCTCTAAGTTAAACCTAAAACAAAAGCACATAAAACGACATCTAACCTTCCCGTCCACAAGGCGTTCCGGGCGTCCGAACTTGGCAGTCTCAGGCTCCATCTCGAGCAGCTCTCTGATGGGACTCTTGGGCACGACTGCGGTGAATTGGTCGATGGCGGCTTTCATGATGGGGTAGTAGGATCCCCACACGGCGTCCAAAGAACACCCCGAGTCCAGGAATATGGCGCCCGCAACGCTCTCAAACACGTCACCGAGAGCTTTGGGCACCTCGATGTCCTCAACAATGTCTGCTTCTGTTTCGCCTTCCAGCAGGTAGTACTAGGAAGCAGATTATGAATTACAATTATGGGAGTGATATATTAAATACAATATTATGAATTATAATTATGAGAGCGATATGGTCAATAAGATATTATGAAATATGATTATGAGACCGCTATAATCAATACGAGATTTTGAATTTTAATTATGAAAGCAATATGATCATCAGGAGATTATGAATTATATTATTTGCACATTATAAAGAAGAATACCATTGAGTTACTACAGCTTATAGACTAAGATGAGTTCATGTGGTTTCTAGGGCATTATGTGATATAGACTTATTAAAAGAGGAACATGTTTTCAATAACCAAAATTACCATGTCCAATAGGTTGTGGCAAATACAAATAAAAAGCTAAAGAAAACTTCTGAACTTTTAGACTAGATGATCATTACTAAATAAGCTAACATTTGATAGGAAAGTTAACATGAAGAATAAATTAAAGCACTCAGGTTTACAGACAGAGCAAAATTTGCACGTACTTCCTCGTTTATTTTATGCTCGTTGGCTTCCTGATCTTTAACAAAATCTCGGATAACAGAGTCCAAGCCAGGGGAGAAGTGTCGGAAATATTTATGGAAGCTATGCTTGACTGCAAGCGTGGCGAAGATAGTGTTGTTGACCAGCGCTGAACGCAGGTCTGTGAGCGCTCCAGGCGAGTGGTGGCGGCAGTCTTCGTACAGATGTCTTGTAATGAGGTAGTCTGCAAGAGGCGAGGCGGCTTAAAGGTCAAGTAAATCATTTTTTTGATTTTCACTACTGATTGTACTTTTATTGAACTGACGATGGAGCTGGTCTCTGAAACGTTTTCACTGTAAATATGGACTAGTCTTTACTTTTAAATTCTTGTCAAAGCAATCAATTGATACTAACATCAAGATTATAGCATCGTTGATATTCTTAACGTGCCTTGGTAAATAAGTAGGAAGATAATATTTTCACCTAATTAACAATAATACCTTCACAATATTCTCCAATCATAAGATGTTTACGAAACAATACCTCCATCATTCATTTCACGAAGCAGATGCATCCTGTCTACTACAGAACGAAAAAACAAATAAAGCTCGCAATGTTACCTAGGACGGCGTCTCCAAGGAACTCGAGACGTTGGTAGCAGTCGGTGAGACGGTTACGGCAGAAGGAGGCGTGAGTGAAGGCTTGCAGGAGGTAGGCTCGGTCTATGAACGTGTAGTTGATGGTTCGCTCAAACTCATCGTAGTCCGTCAATAGTAAGTCCAAGTCACGGTAGTGATCAAAGAGCTGTACAGGATAACGATCCTGGGAACTACATCCAAACAGCGGAGGTTTTGCCATCTCATCAGCAGAAAAGTTGGCGCTGGTGTTCACAGCGTCAGTTGAGCACTCTGCGTTAAGGCTGCAGATCTGAGTTTGGCTATCGAGTTGACATGACTGAACGTCCTTGCGTGCCTCGTTCGTTGTCCAACAAGTGTAGGACAAATTAGCAGGTGTAATTAACTGCGGCACGTGCAAGGGAGAAGCGGGCAACCCAACCTGGGAAAAGGTGAATTTTTCTCTTCCAGACGCTTCATCAAAACTTGACTTCGTAGGTAACACTTTGATGCCAAGCCACGACATGAACAAAAGGGCACCTTTGGGACCGCAAGTGGTGAGATAAGCTCCGATTAGCGCCTCGACCGAGTCAGCAATACTTTTATCTGGGATGCTGTGCTGCGTAAGCAGATTATAGGGGATGAAAATGGGCAACTCTTCGGGTCGTCTCATGTCCACCTTGTCAGATCCAGGAGGCCAAAAATGGGAAACGGCTTCATCAGAGGCATCAGCGTTTTTGAGGAGCCTAGTTCTATCAAGCACCATCAACCTGATCTGTTCACTGGACAGTTCGTGAAGGTTGGGCAACTCTGCCATATTCCAGTGGCCTGATGGAATGCCTGAAGCTATCAAGGCTTCTTCAAGCTCCCTGGGAACATAATAGCTCGGGGGAAGCCAGTTGTCATGAGGCTCGAACTTTGTTGCAACCATACAATCACCTAGTCCCTTGTACTTGCCGAGCCTGTAGAGATTTAAATTACTCACTTGCTTGGAGCGTAAGTAGCTGAGCTTGCCTTCATGTTGTTGTGGGAACATGCAGTACAGGTACGTGGTAATGGCGTATTTCAGGTAAGAGTCACCAATGGTCTCAAGACGTTCAAGGTTTACGCCATCGTTGGCGTTGGACATCGTGAGAGCCTGCAAGATTACACTAGGCGACGGTCCGTAGAGTCCGCTCAAATCAGGCTGAAAATCAAAACTGAACAGCTGCTTGTCTTCACCTACTGGGTAAAGGGTGGATTCTTTCTTCACGTGCGACACCATCATGTTTTCTAACGTAGCAGATTGGTTGAGACTAGAATAGTCCAAGCCAAAATTGGTGTCCGATGCTTTAGTATTTATAGATTTGGTGCACGGAGGAAGAAGATTTACATCGCTACCAATCACAAAGCTTTCATCAGCCTCATCAATGTCTATTTCCTCATTATATTCTGCACAAGATACATCGAAATTTTCAACGAGTGAGCCCAATGCAGCAGGAGGAATATTACTTTCAGCCAAATTTTTCCTTTTTGCCTTTTCGAATAACAACTCGTCATTCTCTCCAACGAAACTGTCACTGTGTAACATTTCTAATTTTTTGTCTTCGATGACCTTGCAGAATTCAGTTTCTGCCTCGGCAATTTCTTGCGGGTTGATTTCCCCCATGAACAAGTCCAGCTCATCTTGATCGTTATGTTGCTCCTCGTCCTCATGTCGTTTCTTAGGCTTAGTGCTCCAGTCATTGGCCGCAGCAGCACTTTTGATCTCCTCGGTGACCGACTCTTCATCAGAAGAAGCCTCGTAGTCGTCCCAGTAGTCATCAAAATCGTCATCATCTTCGTCGTAATTGCTGTACGAGTCAGCACCTTCACCCCCCGAGAATTTGTCACCTTTGTAACAATTGTCATTGAAATCAAAGTTGTCGTCATACTCGAAGTTAGACGGCGATCCTACCCGGAAGATCCCGGTGCTGCCATTTCCATCGTTATCAACGTAGGCGTCACTATCTCGAGGGCGACTAGTCGCTTTGGCAGCAGTTTTTTTCCGTGTACTTGAGACGCCAGTGCGAGCCTTAGCTTTCCTTTCTTTGAGTCCTGTGCCCCAATCAGCCCCCAGCTCGCCTTCAATGTCATCTTCAGCTACTCCACAGTCCAAAATGGTAAGGTTATCTGGTAGATCTTCATTGGGGTCGAATACTTCCAGCTCGTCTAGGTCTTCATCCTCAGCGTCGGCAGCCATTTCTTGCTCTGCTAAGGCCATTTCATTTGACCAAGTTCCGATCTCTAGTTCGCCATGCCTTCTGCGACGACCTTTTTTCTTTTCATATTCCTCATCTATCAAGGAAAGCTCGTCGTCTTCGGATTTGGTTGACCCACGAGGACGAACTTTTTCTTGAGCAAGATCGTGTAGCTCAGCAACGCCAATAGGCGGTTTCTGGCCGCACTCATCACCTTCTGAAGTCTTCTTAAAGACGTCGGCGAGAGTCCATCCAAAGTCAAGCGCTGGCCAAACATGATCTGAGAGTGGAACAATTTTTGAAAATGAAATCATGGAACGGAAATATAATTTATTAGTTTTGGATAGATACGAATCAAATTAAGATTCAAATAACTAATAAATAGTTTTCCTGAGGACTTTGAACAAATGAATCAAGATCGCAATGAGATTCTGAACAATATGTGAATCCATACGCTATAATTCTGCACATTTCCGTCTTGAATTTACGAAGAATAGAGACGGAGACTCACCAGGGGGGAGCGTGGGGCGGCCAAGACCGATCTCCTGTGCAACAATCACGCGAAGTTCATCGGCCAACAAAAGCGCGTTGATCCTGCAGCAAGAAATTTGCGTGCGAAAAATAAGTAAGGAAGTCCAAATAAATACCTAGCGCAAATGTGATGATAGAAATGTAATAGAACAGCAGAAAAAATGATCAATGAATTGAAGATACAAAAAGTTTTGAGATTGGTATGGTCACGGAAATCGATTTATTCTTGACATGCTCGGAGAGCAACAGCCGTCAGGGAAATTTTATTCCCACAACAAAACGTTGAACAGTAAGATATGCGCACATCAAAACCACGTCATTCCTAACAGAAATAACACTATAATCATGTTTGATGTCAATGTAAACAACATGCAGACCTGTACAGAACAGTCGGTAAGCACACAGCCTTGCGCAACAGAGAGGCGGGGAACGGCACTATAATGTTTGATGTCAGTGTAAACAACATGCAGACCTGTACAGAACGGTCGGTAGACACACAGCCTTGCGCCACAGAGAGGCTGGGAACGGCACTATAATCATGTTTGATGTCAATGTAAACAACATGCAGACCTGTACAGAACGGTTGGTAGACACACAGCCTTGCGCCACAGAGAGGCAGGGAACGGCACTATAATCATGCTAGATGTCAATGTAAACAACATTCAGACCTGTACAGAACGGTTGGTAGACACACAGCCTTGCGCCACAGAGAGGCTGGGAACGGCAATATAATCATGCTAGATGTCAATGTAAACAACATTCAGACCTGTACAGAACGGTCGGTAGGCACACAGCCTTGCGCCACAGAGAGGCAGGGAACGGGTGGATGCTGCACAGCTCTGGAACGAGGATCTGCTTCTGCTGGAGGCTCTCTCGCTTAGCGCGCTTAGTTTCCTCTGAAGTCGTCGGCAGAGCTACACCCTTCCTGCAGTTTGAATCGTTTCATCGAAAAAATGTATCAACAAGGAATCAAAGTTAATGAATATATAGAATATTTATTATACATATCATGCTTTAAGCGATGTTGCTGTAATGAACAACAGATAAATGTCATCTACTTTTTTAAATTACTTCCACCGAAACAAATGAGGTAAATAATTATGTTCAATTCGGACCAACACATAACATGGATACAAATGTGATTTATTATTATTTATATCATATTATTTGATTTTTTATACATGGATATTATTTAATTTATATAAATTAATATTTGACATCATTGTCAGCAACAAAGAACAGTTTTCAGGCAGATCGGTAAAGTAACCTGTTGACATGTCGAGGCGTGAGGAGGTTGAGGCGAGCGGAGGTGTGGTCCACATCGAGCAGAGGCTGTCGCAGGTTGCTAACTTGTAATCCGTACTTCGTCCAGTAATATTTTTCGAACGTCTCAAAACCGGCATCCGGAAAGTCACTTTGAGGGTTGAGATGCTCGCAAATTTCAGCAACGTAGAAATACTTGAGAGATGGAAAAATTAAGCAAAATAAGGTGAAACAATCAACTTACCACACAGTTTTCAGAACAAGTATGAGGATGTTACATAAAAAGGCCAACTAACCATATCGAGATAACTATTTCATCTAATCAACTTGGTAAGAATTCCAAGCATTTTTTCAACCGAAAAAGAAAAACTTTCATTCATGCATTACATTGTCAATCGACAGTGTCTAAACATTAAATATGGTGATAACAAGGTCTAACCTGGGGCTGGTCATGGTTCCTATACCATGGCATGACAACAGCATCTTCATAAAGCTCTTTCTTGAAGGTGAAATTGCGGCGATCTTCGTCACTTGGTGCTGAAGGTTTCAAGTCCCCAGCTTTGCCAATGCTTTCAACAAACTGCCAATCAACGCTCGTCTTACCAGGAACTGAAATATTAATAAGTGGCTGCATTAGTAGTACTAATGAAACGAGAGATAGGAGAATGTATTGGTCCAAATTAAATACCTAACCACAAATGGCTCAACTTACAACAAGGTATTCATCACATTTACAAAATTGTTACACAAATCATCAGTTCGAGTCATGGATACGCATGCAAATCCCCATTGTTTCATTTTTACTTCGAAACTGCACTATAGTGTTAAAAACCTCCAAATTCGGGTTACATAAATAAAAGTTAAAGTCCTCACCTCTGATTAGTGGTACAACAAAGTAACTTGCATTAGCCTTCAAGGGGTCAAATTTGATGGGATATTTCTCAAGTCGGAGAACATGGCTGAATGTGAACTGATGGAACATATTGAGTTGTTTCAGTTGTTCATCGGTCAGTTTCAAGGCATCGCATTCAACAGAAGTGGAAATGAGATTCAAATTCACCAAGACTTCACCAGATCGCGTGAACACTGGGAAGGCGCTCGTTTGAGGGATGTGTTCGGTAGTTAAAATACCGAAATCCCGAGGGCTCAGCTCGGGTCGGTATATGCGCCGGCCTCTAGTGTTCTGTTGGTCGGGAATTGCACAACGAAGTACCATACTAATGCTGTACAGACGCAATACAACAGACGGCCTAGGAAGAGGGTTGTCCGAGGGAACACCTTCCGTTGAATCAACATTGCAGTTAGTTGCAGTAATTTCGCTCGCAAGTTTAAATTCATCCGTATCGTTGCTACCACAATGTTTCTCATGTTCTGTAATTTTAGATTCATTCGCAGTACAACTTGAAGCTCTCTCTGTGCATATTTTCAAGTTTTCACACGACAAGGACGGAGGTACCACTGTAGCATCTGTATTTTCAGATTTCTCAACCACAGTTTGTTCAGGATTAAGCGTAGACATGTTTGCTTCCACTTCGGACGCAAACTTCACTGTCTCCTTGCTTTGTATGGCCGTGGTCTCGACCTCACCCAGAGTAGCACCTTTAGTGAGACATGCTGCAACTTTCTTGTAGTAATACTGACGGCGCTTAGTCGTGCCGGGACGGGGGAACGTGTCAGGATCAAGATCAGACGGTGGTGGAGGACATAGATGCTGGTCCAGCTGAATGCTTTCTTTGCCAACAGGTAGGAGCTGGTCGTCGAGTTCACCGAGCTGATGCAAGGCAACGCAGGCCGTGAAGGCGGCACAGTGCTTAGCTAGCACAGGAGACGGTTGCCAGGGGCCCTGGAAAGGAGTTATGACACATAAAATATGGAGGAAAAACGTTTCATCGGCAACTTATTCTTTCCTACGTGTACAAATTAGAAAAAAAAATAATAGACAGGTGGTACATTATGAGCGGAGCAGAAAAAAACTAAAGTAGGTATATCAATTCACACAAATTGGGAGAATCCAACTAATTTCTCACAACCTTTGCAATTAATAAGTAAAATTGTTCAATTTCATAAAATAAATTCCTGACTTGTAACAAGTTTCGGGCAAGACCAACATCTCACAAAAGGCGTACCACGATAATGTCTTTCAGTGGCGAATTGATGGGCAGTGCTAACGAGCAGCAATACAAGATGCCATCAGTAGCCGTAACCAGATTCTGATCTTGATCAGAGGTAACAGCATTAATGCCAGACGAGCTTTCGTTGAAGGCTGTGGATTCTTGTGGGGCAGGTGGGTTGTCTTGAGTGGCGCTTGGCTTGGTGTGGATCTGCCACTGCACCGTGAGGCGAGTGAACGTGTCGCTGGGCAGTTTGGCACAATACCTGCGCATTATATGTACAGACACAACATTGAAATAATTCAATTTTGACACTTATTCATGTTGAATTAGTAATCTAAGTATTTCCATACATGAATTCCAAGTATTTCAAGTATTGCCAATATATTTAGATCAAATACAAGAGTAGTAACTAAGAAAAAAATTATCGATTTTCTTTTCAATGAAATGAGATGAATGCAACATTTGACACATAAGAAGTGATGTGGCCTTTTTTATATTCAATGAATATATACATAGGAGCTTTTTTAGATATCTCGCACAATAATTAGGTTACCACCCCTACATGTGTTGACAGTCCCGCTACAACGTAAAACCATGGTTAGGGCGAATTCACAGAAATCTTTCCTTATCGAGATATTAGGGGAATATTCAATACATTCTTCAAGTTTAAGTGGCGATGAAAATGTATAGACCAAATATCTGATAAGGATATTTCAAATCCAGAAAGCAAACATGCAATAAAATCTTGAATATAAATAAAATTAATTTACAGGGTACGATTTAGTTACGTGAAGATACTTTGACTTCCTGTGAACAACGTAATAAATTAACAGGTATACGGTATACTTATTTTGACCATGATTATTGGAAGTCTGCTCATTTCACGTATATACTTATTTACTTTTCAAGATTTTTACTTTCCAAGTAATAATTTTGGCCACGACTATTGGGGGACGCACTTATTGAGAAGTTGCATGGCCGCGGACAGGCGCAGTACAGTGCCTGTAGCGGTACAGTACGGTCGGCACTCGTTGGAATGCAGTGGATGCAGAACGTCAGGAGAATAATGCCGCGGGGGCACGAGGTCATTTGTAGCGGTTATTAATGATGGAGAAACATGTGCATTCTCTGGATTTAGAAGGTGAGGCGCTGCGCTAACTGCCTCAAAAGAAGTCGTTTCTACTTGTGTTTCATTCTCCAAAGGATCGGAGGAAAATGCAGGTTTGTTGTAGGGACTCAAGGTGACTGCATCGCCGAGCTGTTTCGAACAGTTCTCCAAGATGACCTGCCATAGGTACGATCCGATTGCGTTAGGAATAGAAAATGTACTTATTAACAGATAGGAAACTTAGAAACACTAATACAGAGCAGTTAATTTCGTTAAATGGCAAAAAACACAGGGTGATAATAGAAATCTTTTTAGGATACCCAAAGTAGCCTCGAATGTCAAGAAGCTACGAGTTGTAGTCACAATAATTGTACTGAATATTGAACATTATGGGCCCCTAAACAAGTCGTATTCAATTGTACACTACGAAAATGTACCTTCTTATAGGTGCAGTACGTGGCAAGATGAGAGACTAGATTGTCAGCAGCATCGGCGTCGGCGAGATGGAAGAGATGAGACCAGGGACTGGATCGAGCGCGACCACAGCTCTGCACGTACGACTGGAAGCTCAGAGCTGGGTCGAATCTGAGCAGAGGGAGGACACCTTAAGGAAAGCTATTATCAAGCTCAGAGCTGGGTCGAATCTGAGCAGAGGGAGGACACCTTGATGAGGAAAGCTATCATCAAGCTCAGAGCGGGGTTGAATCTGAGCAGAGGGAGGACACCTTGATAAGGAAAACTATCATCAAGCTCAGAACTGGGTCGAATCTGAGCAGAGGAAGGACACCTTGATAAGGAAAACTATCATCAAGCCCAGATCGGGGTTGAATCTGAGCAGAGGGAGGACACCTTGATAAGGAAAGCTATCATCAAGCTCAGAGCTGGGTCGAATCTGAGCAGAGGGAGGACACCTTGAGGAGGAAAATTATCGTCAAATGAAGATAACAGTGAATTACAGAAATACTGCTGCGTTCATTTTTGGAGAGGCCTAACTAGAGCAAAGAGGGAACCTTAGAACTTCTCAATCCGTCTTTAATTAGCACCATACACTCTAAAGAAATTACGATTCATCCGTAGGAATATTTGCAACTGGTCGCCAACGATGGAAGAGATGCATAACTAGGTGAGGATTTCTAATTTTTTTAATAAAAACTTGTATATCAGTGAAGAGCATCTCCAAGAAACTTTTCAGGATACTAATTCTTTTGATAGAAATTACAACGTTAATCAGCCAGAAACATAACTATCCTAACCTGATCTTGCTCATGATGAATATTATTTTTCACAGTAAAATAATGAATAAAAAGAATTAGGTTAGAAAAAAACAATTAAGAGATACGAGGAACTGGAAATTTTCGGCCAGACTGAGAGTAAAATGCTTTCAGGAGTGACATTACATAAATAAAAACAATTGGTTTTGTAGGACCTTAAAGTAGGTATATATTTAGTATATTCGAAAGAGTTTACGAACCTGACAACGAGGGTACAGTTAGGCACATCAATGCCTTCTTCAAGAACTCTCGTGGCCACCAGCATATTGCATTCCAAATGTCGGAACCTGCAGGGTGTGATTATTTCATATATTCCCAAGATAGATAAAAAGTCAAAAGAATTTCGATCAAAATTGTAGGCTGCTATTGTTAATGAAAAGATCAAGAAATAGACGATTCAAGCTAAATTCGAAGCAATTAGGAAGATATCGGGAAGGGCCCGAATTAAAACAAATATATATTTTAGATATGAAAAAATGTATACTGCCATGAATGCATTTTTCTTCCAAATTAGTAAGCCATCGAAAATATATCACAGCGACTGGTTGAAATAATTAATTATTAATAAATCTCACCAAAAATAATTCAACTGTGATTAAATTACAATCATTACATGCAACGAGAATTACCGATTCTACACCCTACACCAACGCTCCAAATTAAGCTAGAACACGAACATTCACCAACCTTCTTAAAACCTCTTCCTGCTTTTTACGCTCATTCTCAAGAGTTTTTTCATCGGGGATTGTGCCATTAGACTTCCAATCGCTGCCGACTTCCACAGTGAATTGGGGGAAAATCCAAGCAAAATCTCCACCGATGTCGCTGAGTTCCTGTACCAAATTCAGGCTTCGTTATACAGAATATAAAATTCTGAATACGTAAACGGCGGCGTTAACGCCAAAACTAAATTGAGAAACATGAAAAAAATTTTTGGTCCATAGAATAACTGTAAAAAGAGATAAAGAAATAAAAATTTGAGCAGAATGATTATAAAGAAATAACGGGGGTTTGTAGTTGGCTAAAATCGCAGGTTGAAGAGAGATAAGATATAAGGGCCATAATAATATATGCTGGTACGCGTAAACTGGACCAAAGGGTGATGGGAGTATTCAAAACAGGAAAGAATTTTATCAGATCTACCTTGAAAAGACGATAGAGCATTTTTGCAGTGGTGCTGGAACGGACAAAAACAAGTCCACACACGGAGTCGGGATCATCTGGATTATGGACTTTCACTTTTTCCTTGACTTCCATTTCAGCTCGTCTCTTCTTACCACCGCGCCCTTGTGTCGGGAAGGCGGAAGTCACGACGCCATTGACTTGGCTTTTGCTGGCAGTAACTGATGATTGATTTTCACCATTGCGAGTGCAAGACGCGTTGGTCTCCTTTGAATGAAGACAACTAGCACATAATTCCTTAGCAGATGTTGAGTCGGCTACAACCGAGTTGGCAATGATTTCAATTTCTGAATTGAAATTTTCTGTCTTTCCCTGCTCTTGCATTTCGGTTGTTGTTTCCGAAGAATAGACATCAATTTCCTTCTCGCTGCAAGCAGCATTTTCGTTAACACCGCTGGCTGACTGAGTAATTGAATTCTGATTGAATTCATTTGACGCGGAATTCGCGACATTCGGAAAGAGACAGCAGTCACTGGATTCAAGAGAGCTATCAGGGGCTAAAATTTGCCCAGCACTCGCGTCGATCTGAAGTTTATTTGAACTTTCCAAGAGGTTCTTCTGAGGCCCCTCTTTCCCAATAGAGTCTGTACTAATGCTAGAAGATACATGATCGCACGAGGTAGCATGGGTTGCATGGTTGGAATGTTCCCTATTATTGGACATGTTTGCATCATTAGCAGCGTCGCACTGAGATTCATTAGTCGAGTCGTTCACAGCCATTATTGAATCACAATGAAGTGGTTTCCTACCTAACTTACTAATTAAAGAGCTCGTACTATTGGACAGAGACAAGGACGTGGCAGCCCCAGTAATAGCGGGAACTTTCATGGGCGAGCCCTGGCAGCTGCTAAATATTTCAGGTGTGTCACGGCCCGAGTTCTCCTCATCTAGTTGGGGAGAGACAGCAGCGCAGGATGAAGTGCAATTACTATTATTTTCTTCATGATCACTGTGGAACTTTGCATTGTGGCTCCCAGCTGCTTGATTAAAGCCAGTAGCGAAAGCAGTTTTAGGTTGTGTCTTTGTATCAGAATGAGCAGCAGCACAGAGCGAGTCAGCACCATGTTGAACAAGTCCATCAACAGAGAGCGATGGCACATCACAGCCTTCAATAAGCACCTGGCGAGTTAATTTTAACTCACCATCATCACAGCAATCGCAATTTTCACTATCATTGATTTTCAAGTCGTCACACATGTTACACAGATCTTCATCGGGTCGGAACCCATTTATTTTAGGAGAGAGCTGAGACTTGCCTTCCTCCAAGCTTGAATTGCTAGGCAGATCAGAACAGCTCTGAAACGAGCTGACTGATTCAAGATCAACATCCCTAAATTTCACATGTTTGTTCATCAAGTTCTTCAAATTGACATTCATTTGTCCGTCATTAACATCATGGTCGTTTGTACTATACTCGACGCCTTGCGAAGAGTCACAAGCGTCTGGTTTAAAATCACAGCCGTCGGGTAGGTCAAGAGAGACTCCTGTGTTCTTCTGGCCTTCATCACACTCATTAAACCAGCCCTGCTTCTGAAGCCGCTTAATATCGTCATCCGTAACCTCCGTAATGGAAGCATCTGGAACGATGTGATCAAGATTATAGTTTTCTAACTTAGTTTCAACCACAACAGAATGTGAGCCAGGATTTACAGGTGTCATGGAAACATTCACATCATCTGGATCGGCGAGCATACGTCCACAGCTTCTGCAAACTTCTTCCTTTGGGAGATTTTGGTTGTCACTTCCACCAGCTGAAGCATCAGGACCTGACTCTTCTGTGGATTGTTTGTTTCTGTTCCGCGGATCAACAAAATGGATTGGCCGGATGCGTCTCAATATGCTTATGAGGCGTAGAACTTTTGGTGTAGAAAACTGCAATATTTGGTCCAATTCTGAGAATTCGCTGAAGCAGTCTTCAATTACAATCCTGTGTAGATAAAAAGTTTTATTAATTTAAATTGGCTACCTTGCAATGCATGAATTGGAGTATTTACAAGTAAATCGTGAATATTCAAGTCAACGCTTGAATGTGTTGAAGTTACTCCTATTCATTCACAAACACATAAAATTTAGTTATGATCAGCTTATACAATACTTTGATGGTAATCATTTTACTGCTAACAACACAACAACAAAATTGAATGATTCATGAAAGAGCAAAAGTAACAAATTAATGAAGATAGTAACTGCCGCTAGCAGTAATTTGTTATCTAACAACTTGAACGTGCAACAGAAATCTAAGAAAAAGCATATACATATCTCTATATCTATCTATCACTGGCTTCCGTTATTAGAATATTCACTCACCTTATTCTAGTGAGGACAGTGAAGACCATGCAGAGGAGGAGGTAATGGCGGTCATAGGCAGTCTTCTTCTTCATCTTCTCTATTTCCACTAGAGCGTAGAGGGCGGCTCTATCACTGCACCATAGCCCTGCAACAACACATTGTATTCAAGACCTCACAATTAAAGCATAAAATGCCGCTCTATCACTGCACCATAGCCCTGCAACAACACATTGTATTCAAGACCTCATAACTAAAGCATAAAATGCCGCTCTATCACTGCACCATAGCCCTACAACAACACATTGTATTCAAGACCTCACAACTAAAGCATAAAATGCCGCTCTATCACTGCACCATAGCCCTGCAACAACACATTGTATTCAAGACCTCACAATTAAAGCATAAAATGCCGCTCTATCACTGCACCATAGCCCTACAACAACACATTGTATTCAAGACCTCATAACTAAAGCATAAAATGCCGCTCTATCACTGCACCATAGCCCTGCAACAACATTTCTGCTTCTTTGAAAAGAAAGTGCAGACTTCATAGGCCACTACAACGTAAAATACCACATGCAACTACGGATATAGTCTATTCTAGCAGTCTTCATTTACTATCCATATAGCTATAATGAACTTTATAGTGAGTACTATCCCAAGTTCTTTCATTCAAGAACTCGTAACTAAAGCGTAAAAAACCTCTCTATCACTGCATTATAGCCCACGGTAAAACACAATATACACACATTATATTAGACTGAATTGGATCACAGAAATGGTAACCTTTCTATTGCAAAAGTTTCTAGCCAATGATCTAGCTGATGACATATCAGACCAGAAATTCATTTTTAAAGAATTTTGTGGTGACCAAAATATAAAGTGTTTATTAACTAACGATTAAGCATAAGCTAAACGCACCAAGATCATTGAGGACAGACTCGAAGTTTTCAAAGATGGCAAGAGGTTGTTTCTTGGGATCAGGCACGCCTGTGCAGAACTCCCTGTACTCCTCGCCATAGACCTCGACGGGATCGTAGCGATGGTTGTCCAGGAAGCAGCGCGCCTGGGCCAGCAGTTGCCTGATGTTGCCTTCTGGGCTGTCTGCCATCACTGGGGGCGGGGAGCTGCAAGCCACCACCCACTCCTTGGCCCGACTCTCTGTGCTGCACGACGTCAGAATACATAAGAAATTTAGAATAATAAGTAATTAGAGTCACACCGAACACTCCCTGGCATGAATCTCCGTGCTGCTCGACATCAAAATATATGAGAAATGTGACATACTATCATTCATTGTAACACCATTTACTCTGTTGCACGACTTTCCCATGCCGCACGTTGCCAAAATATGGAATAAATGCAATATTTCATCATTTAAAGCAATAGGAAACTTAAGGAAAGTAAATGAAAATGAATTACAGACAGATTTTAGCTCCCTAAGCTGTTGATGATTAGAGACATGTATAAATCAATAAATAATTTAAGAAGATTTTTCAGTAGAAAATAATGTTGCGTTTTTCAGTAGAATGTAAAACGTAAATAATCATCAGATTTTAGTAAAATTATTTAAATGAAAAACCATAAATGAGATCAAAACCTATTGAAAAATAAAAATATGAATAAAAAATTGAACATGAATGCCCCTGAAGACATTATGACGCTCAAACCTAAAGGAATGACACTGGCGTAAGATTATGGCACCTCAAATGAATAATTTATAAGATTGTGACAGCTTATGCTGAATGATAAACATAATTATCGCAACCCACATGCAAGGATAAACAGGATTAAGATTACTTTTATGGAATAAAGTATGGTGCAGGATTGCGACAACATACATTGAATAAAAATAATGTGGGATTATTGCAACTTATACGGTACGATGATCACAAAACTGAACTGTGACTGACCCAATGACAGCAGCGATGTCACTAGCGGTGGTGACGTTACACCGAGTGGCGTGCGTGAGGCGTCGAATGAAGCAATGCAGGAGGTGGGGAGGAGTGGTGGAGGACGCGGGGGACGTGAGTGGTGACAACAACGGTGGAGTGCAACCAACCACACGGCACCGTGAAGGGGCGGACCACACCAGCTGCAGACAAAGAGACACATGTTTATCTTTGATTTTATGAATTCTCTGATTTTACAAAATCCCATGAAATAAATAATTTATTCTTTGACTCCTCAATTTGCTAGAAAGTAACAAAAAATTCATGAAAACCTAAAGATAAATTTAACCTGATTTTCAGCTGCAACTTGAGCCCAAAAAATGCGTTATGTACATAATGGTTTCTAAATTTGTGGTATCGGCCTTCGCATTATATTTACTTGATGTAAACACCATCAATTAGTTCAAGGTTAAATCACCAATTTCTTGATTGCACGTTTTCTGAAAAGAAAAAGTAGACTTTACAGGCCACTAAAAAATACCATCTGCAACTATGATTATAGTCTGTTCTAGCAGTCTACATTTACTATCCATATAGATATAATGAACTTTAAAGCGAGTACTATCGTAAGTTCTCAACTCATAGCAAGAACAAGAGTGAGTAAATATAAACATTAGCATGCTTAATTTAAACAAGGGGTCTCATTAAAATATAGTGTGACTACAAAGAAAAAGAAAAACAGCATAGAAATGAGAAGAAGTTTCACGAGGGAAAAATTAAGTGAGGAATTAAGCACCATTGTTACTGCGTACTAAAACACAACTAACTACAAAATCATGTGTAACTTTTTGAGGATAAAATTTGATATTCAACAATAGAGGTGTGCATAAGAAATAGGTACAACTAGTGTCATTGTAAAACCCAGTAAATTTGTCATTTTTTAGAATGTTGAATGCAACAAGCTCAGCATTTATTCTGTGGTCATTGATCCTTATCACAGAATTCACACAAAACTTCCTGAATAAAATGTTGAATTAACACATAAAATAAATATTAAAATGTAGAATTCTACATAAAATATATTGTATAAATGACTATGATGTACTCACTTTTCTAAAAGCTTCATCAGTGAGACACACTTGAGCATCAGCCAAAAAGAGCAGGCTGGCTGAAGACAGCTGAAGATGCTCAGGAAAGGCGGTGGCAACTCCACACGTAGCCATCAATACCTGAATAGTAAATAATATTTCAACAAGTGGTAGTTTGCGCAGGCATGAGAAAAGGTTACATGAGCTCCTTGAAGAAGAAGGATATTGATTACTGTTAAACATTCCTTCATTTAATGAGTTGAATTCGTATGTCAGATAATGCATAAACCATATAATATAGAAAATATTAAATCAGAAATTTTCGGCGGAGATCATGATGACAACCCCCACATTATTTTAGCTTAAAATTTTAGAGAAAATAATGCCAATTTCAAGTATATATGCTGTGTAATTTAAATTTTTATTTTAATATTTTCAACACACGGGAAGTTTCTGTGCCCACGACTAATTATATAATTGTAGCAAGTCCAAACCTGAGACTCAGCACACTTGTTGAACCAAGTTTCATCGTCCCAAGCTTGCAGCTCCTCCAAGTGTTCAGGTATCAAGGATACATTCAGGCTTGTGTTTTGTCTAACAGATTCACTGAGCAGCTGCAGGCATGAGAATGAGTTGCCCAGAAACACTGCCCTGGGTTCCTCCGCTTCTGGTGAGCTGTAAAATGTAATTTATACATATTAGTATTAATAATAATGAATGTTATTCTAGGTTTTTCATATGGCGTTTTGAACTTTAGTTGGCAACACAAGTATGTGGTAGAAAAATGGAAAAAACGTTATTACAGGCATTGGCATAATATATAACTGTGAATTTAAAATTTTTAGCACTAATTTGTTGGCTTGAAGCATTGCCCCAAGGATTCTTTTTTTTCCATCTCTATCTTGCATAACAAATCATCACTAGAATTAAAATTAATAAGTAAATTGTGGTACAACAAGCAAGTGATTCCTAAGTTGGCCCAAATAGATTCAAGTAATTGCAAGAATAACTATAGGAAAATTTACATAAAATAAACAATATTCATTAATGAAATATTTTACTCTTAGAAGACATTTTTACCGTTCTCCACTTTGATGAGCTGCAGTGGTAGCAGCAAGATGGTGCAATTCCTTGCATAAAGAAGAGGCCAGGAATATTTTTGTACTGTTGCTGGATAGAATAGAGACAGTGTTTTGCTGCAGGCAGCTCCACAGCAGCTCAACCTGTAACACAAATCAAACCTGAAAAATTTCGCCTTAAAAAAAAAATAAATTAGATTACGATAAATTTTGCCATAAAAAATAGAAATTAGATCATGACAAATTTTGCCTTAAAAAAGAAATTATATCAAGACAAAACAGTCACCTAGTAACTTGATCAAATTAAAGCTGAAAGTTTACCTGATTTTCACAGGGGGTGAATATGCTGCTATGGACATTGTCAGGCTGTATTCGGTTCATCTGGAAAAGATAAAAATTAATTTAATTTAATATGGAAGTGAATGATTGTTTATTGATATTAAATAAATTCAATTAAACAAGTATTTAGAGAAGTGGCTTGTGCTACTAATGAGTTGACTTCCAAACAGCATTGGGGGTGAATTTTGTCAAAAGTGATTATAACAAAAACAAAATTATATTCATTGCTTGTTCAATATTCATTTTCATTATTATTACTGAAATATTGTGGTTCTGAAGTAACAAATTCTCAATACATTTGGAGTTTCCCGGCCTGATCGTGCTTTTTTGTTAATACCGTAGTAATGAGATAGGTGGCAATCCATCAAGCAGGATATAGCAGCTACATAAATGGATATAATGGATTCAAGCAGGATATAATGGATTCATGGATGCATGAATCTCAAATTTCAATACTGTCTCTATTACAAAATCAAAACAACTTTATTTTTGACCCAGCCTACAGCCCTCAGCTACATAGCTAAAGTCTCAGTCCAATTATGAATATTGACAAAATTTTCCAAACATCATGGGTTGCAAAAATCATTCAATTTTTGCAGGATAAATTAGAGAAGAGCTATTTGAATGGGTGAAATTGTTTCCAAGTATGGGTATTTTTGTCTCACTCATTTGCATTACCGTAAAATGGGGTAACTTAGACCGGCGGGGTAACTTAGACCACTTTTCGTTTTTTTTACAAAAACCCTCACAACTCAAAAACTATTTGACATAGAAAAATTTTGTCAATGGGCATTAAAGGCCTAATACTTGAGCCAGCAATTTATGGTGAGTGAAGCTAGAGTATAGACCTGTATTTTGCATGTTTCAATTCAAGTTTAATTTAGCTAGTAAGAAAATGGCATCATTTATAAGAAAAAAAGTGGTCTAAGTTACCCCATTTTATGGTATATTTGTGGCTCCTGGATGGGCTCCTGCCTGCCCATATGCCCAGGTGTATCCTCAAGCAACAAGTTTAGCTGAATGACCACAGATATCAAAATTTTGCTGATACAAAGAACAATCAATCACTGATATAACAATTATATATATATATATACTATCAATGGACACAGACTTCATGATTTGCATAAAGTTCAGGTATTCATTATCAATTCTTATAGGTACCGTAAAATGGGGTTACTTTGACCGGCGGGGTAACTTTGACCACTTTTCGTTTTTTTAACAAAAAACCCCAAAACTCAAAAACGATTTGACATAGAAAAATTTTGTCAATGGCCATCAAAGGCCTTATACTGAGGCTACATAAAACAATAGAAAGATTTAAAAAGTTTGCATATCTAATAGGTTAAAAAATTAATAATGTGACCCACGAAAAAGAGCAATTATTTAAAGCCTGTCAGAGTACCCCCTCCAATTTTTTTATTTTTGGTAAAATAACTCCAGGTTTTGATGCATTGTAGTAGAACTCTTCTAGTTACATATGCAAAAGACAAATTTTAGGAAAGTGTCATAGTTTGCAAATGGGAGCGCCACCCCTCAATGGGGGAACTTTGACCACCTAATGGCAGCCATGATGGGGTAACATTGACTGGCTTGGAAATTAAGTTAAAATTACCATAGGTACCTATATAACATATTTTATGTTTGATACACCTATTAATGTTTTTTTTTCTTTATGTTTCAGACTCTACAGAGTCTTATATATGGTAATTTCAACTTAATTTCCAAACCGGTCAATGTTACCCCGTCACAGCTGCCATTAGGTGGTCACATTTTGCCCATTGGGGGGTGGCACCCCCCATTTGCAAACTATGACACTTTCCTAAAATTTGTCTTTTGCATATGTAACTAGAAGAGTTCTACTACAATGCACCACAACCTGGAGTGTTTTTACCAAAAAATAAAATTGATTTTACCACCCAGTCAAAGAAACCCCAAGAGCTGGGGTAACAAAGACCATCACTTTTTTTGAAATTACATCACAACTATGAGAGGCAGGAGCCAGCAATTTATGGTGAGTAAAGCTAGAGTATAGACCTGTATTTTGCATGTTTCAATTCAAGTTTAACTTATCTAGTAAAAAAATGGCATTTTGAAAAAAAGTGGTCAAAGTTACCCCATTTTACGGTATTAAACATTGCAAATTTCACACAGCACCGGTCTGCACTGAGCATGAATTCAAATCAACAGTTGAAAAGCAAACTGAAAAATTGAGCAGAAAGCCAGAAGCTACCCTTGAACCAGATTGGAGAATTGGGCACAAGCCACCCTTGAATTGGCCAAAAAGGCCAGTGAATTTGGCCAATTTCACCCATTTGAATGGCCCTTTCCCAATTTTATTACTAAAAAATAGGAAGAACTGTCTTTTTTCAACAGCAATTTTTGACAATTGCCCAAAAACCATAGTTTTTTACATTTGATTTTAGGAAATTTCTGCCCAGTATTGCAGTATGACCAGTGAGTGAGACAAAAGCGCTCATCTTCATGGACAATTTTCTAGTGTGGAATATATCTATCTAGGTACTTCTGAAGCCCAATAAGAGAGTTCCTACCATTTTCAAAATTGCAAGATTACAGCTGAATAAATGACTTCTTAATTTTTAATAGAGGTTCTCAATGAGGCCACAAGATTCTAGCTGTATTGAAAATTTGTCATGTGGGGGCTACAGCATTTCCATAACAAGTAGGAAAATGTGACTACCGTATGCATGACGTTTGTGACTATGTATGACATTTGTGAATACCGTCAACCGGGGCTACTCGGGACGGGCAGGTAACTTGGGACAGTCCTCCAACATGGCGTAAAACTGTTTTAGTAGCAAAACTAATTGGAATATTGCAAAACTAAATATAGTGGCGTAAACATCAACATTTTTCCTATCTATGTAGTATAAAGGAAGTTCAAAAATACTACATTTACTAGCTTTGAAAAATTCCTGAAAAAAAATGGTGAAAAACGATATTTTGAAAAGTTACTTCTGCTAAGGTCTGTAGTAAAAAAAATATTTGCCATATTAAAAAATTTTGCTTAGAAAAAAGTGGCAGACAAGTGTCAGCATGAAAACTTTATTTGCGGAATTTACATACCTCAATCAAAAAAAAAATGGTGGCCATTTCCGCATGGCGGGGCTACTCAGGACACCCCCCAGGGGCTATTCGGGACACCCCCAAAAACGCATTTACAGCAGAACCTCAGTTAGCAAAGGCTCCAGTTAAGAAAAAAATTGATTAAAAACAAAGAATATTGATTACATTTACCTCACTCAGCGAAAAAAATTTCACTTATCGAAAAATTAGTGTAGGTATCATCGGTCATCACAAAATTGTGCGTAGAATGTCATATATAGAATTGTGCACCAGGCATCATAGAATGAAAAGTAATTGACCTAAACTATGATTTATTTCTCAAAAACATATGATGGTTGTCACTAAAACATTCCTTTCTGTTTCAGGTATGTTTTTCACAATCTTTTTTATAGTAAATTCACTTAACCCAATTAAAATGGTGTGAAATTACAAGCCGTCCTGTAAGCTTACAGATGCAGAAAAAATGCTATAAGGCTGCTGATATGAAGCTTGCAGTGGACAAGGTTGTTGTAAATGCTCAATGGCATGTTCATGGATACGGTAATATCACATCAATAATATGGTAATATATCAATAAAGGAAAAACAAGTAAAAATCACAGAAAATGTCATTTATTCTACCTCTACATCATCTACAACAGTGGTTCCCAAAGTGGGCGATATCGCTCCCCTAGGGGCGGTGGAAAGATTTTGGGGGGCGGTAAGGAAGAAGAGGGTGGTAGGGGGTCGATAGGGGGTCGATAGTCCGAAGTCAATGTCAGAATTTCAAACGTTTGTTTGACGATTTGTAAACAACACGTGCAGCACATGACTCCCGTCTCCCATGCAGCGATGGTTTTTTTTTTACCCAGATCTGTCTTTTTAACCTCTCCTGGGTTTACGTTGATTGTACAAATTAACGGCCGGACTCGCGGTCGGTCTCACGGCCAATTTCCAAATTCGATGATCAAGGAATATCTCTCAAACTAATAAACTTAACTCGATGAAACTTGGTACACGTATTCATTAGGACCTAATGATAATGTTTTGCTCGTGAAAATTGTTTGAATTTTGCCATCGTTTGTTTTTGCCATATTTATATGGCAATACGGGCCAAAATTCAAAGTGATCAAGTAATTTCTTCCAAACTACTGAGCAGATTTGAACGAAATTTTGAATTTACAGTCCCAACTCCGAACGGTAATGTTTAGCTTATGAAAATTTTTTCAATTGCGCCTTTGTTCGCGAGTTTTTCTTTTTTCATTTCACCTTCATTCGTGATTTAAACATCAATACGTGCTTAAATTCTCAGTAATCAAGAAATTTTTTTCAAACTACTCAACAGATTTGAACGAAAATTAGTATTTAAAAACCTAACCTCAGCAACGGTGATGTTTACAATTTTTTCGTTTTGCCATCGTTTGCGAGTTATACAGCTATACGTATAAGGCTCTTGGTTAAACCGGCTGGTAGAAAAGCCGGTCGTTCCTCCTATATTTGTATAACTCGCAAACGAAAGCAAAATAGAAATGTCACAAGCTGAACATTGCCGTTGAGAGGTTAGGTATTTATATACAAAGTTTCATTGAAATCTGTTCTGTAGTTTAAAAGGAATTTCATGATCACCGCAAATTTAAGTGATAAATTACCCGGCGATACGGGCCGAATATAAGGAAGTGTGAAATCAAGAATGACGATGCAATGAAAAAAACTCGCAAACCAAGGTAAAATCGAAAGAACTGTTATAAGCTAAAAAATCACCGTTTGGTAGTTAGGAATGTGTTTTCACAATTTCGTTCAAATCTGTTCAATAGTTTGAAAGAAATTTGTTGATCACTGCGAATTTTAGCCTGCTTCATAATATACACGTAACTCACGAAAGAAGGTGAAATTAAAAAAAATTACAAGCCAAATATCACCGTTAGGTTCTGATGAGTAGGTACGTGTTCCAAGTTTCATAGAGCTGCGTTCATTAGTTTGGGAGATATTACTTGATAATGGAATTTGGAGATTGGTCGTGAGACCGGCCACGAGTCCGGCCGTAAATTCGCCCGCAACATCCTAGGTTTCTAGTGCTGAACCTGAAACAGTTAAAACAGCTGAAAAAAGTATTGGTTCACTAAATGGAGTTCTATTTGTGAAATACACAATTGTGTTTAAACTTTATCTTTTAAAATTGCATCGTACGAAATTTCAATAAAGAGGCGTATGTTTGTAGGGGGCGCTAGAAATTCACTGGGGAGCCCAAGGGGGCGCCAGCCTGAAAAAGTTTGGGAACCACTGATCTACAATGAAAGAGGAGGACTTCAGAGTACTGTTAGTAATGGATGAGTACACTCTGCATGCTTCAAATGTTTTAAAATGAAGTTTTATTCCAAGTGTCCCAAGTAGCCCTGCTTGACGGGGCTACTTGGGACACTCTTTTTTTGCTTCTGGCACCTTACAAATAGCATATGGAATTTTTTTGGAGAAGCCATGTGATAGCCCTTGCAAAGAGCTTTGAAATGAGCCTAAACTTGTTTATGAAATGTTTCATGGTAAGAAGTTATGAATGAAAAACATTTGAAACCTTCCAGAGTACTAGCCCTGGTTGACAGTATATATCACGCTTGTGACTATGTATAATGCTTGAGACTATGTATGATGTTTGTGACCACGTCCCTTGCTAGATTTTTATTCAAAAAATTCTAACAATACAACATATTTTTACATTCAATTTTTAGAAAATCAACTGTGAAACAATCATTTTTACCGGGTATAGAAAATTTTACCAGATAGGTACCTTATTCCAGATAGGATGGGAAATTACTCACCACTGACTGATCCTTGTGTGCAGGCCAGCATTCATATAAAACTTAACATTTAGTTCATGATTTTCCAATGTTAAGATGTTGAATGTTATTTGTCCATTTTAGCCTCCAAAATGTTATACATGTTGAAGCTTTGGAATTCAATTATCAATTGCAATTTGTAAATGGACTACGGTATAGATCTAGAATTAACAACTACTGGCAGCTCTGCAAGTGAATTAAATGATTTGTCATACAGCATACATTTATACAATGGACTCTTATTATAGCTAATAGATAGCACAAAATTATATTTGCTCCTAAATAATGTGTACAAGTTATTATTCTTATTAGATAAATTATTAATCCAGATAGCTGGCTACAAATTGAAACTTGAATAACTTAAGTTACAGACAAGGCAGCAAGATCATGGCTAGTGTGCTACTCTTGTCCAAGCGAGCTCTACAAGCTTCTGACATAAAAACCGTGAGCCTCTATTGGTGCATGTCGCCTGGGATGGAAACTTTCATCTTTCTAGGCAACGTGCGCCATATGAGGTACATGGCATTTATTATTCAACTACAATGAAAAATTGCATCACACGGGTACTAACGCTTGAAAAAACATTTTCTGTGCAAATGGAATCGGATTGTGACTGCAATAATCAAACTACAAATCATTCTGGGTAAAATGCGCTAAATGGGAAGTTCATAATTCATTTAGATGATGTCTTACAAAACTGAGCTAAGCAAAGCATGGAGTGGTACCGACAAATGTTCAAGTTATTGGCAAAAACTGTAGCAAATGCCTGGGTGCTTGGTGATCAGTTCTATAATCAGTAAAAATCGATGTGAATTGCTGAAGTCGTTGAAGATTACTGAATGTATTTCCACTAGTAATAGGTCAGACACGTGAAGAAATGTTTCTATAACCAAATCACAATGATTTTAGATGTCGGCGTTCCAGCTCTAAAGTATTTGAAGCTGAGGATCTGAACTTCATGCCAAGACAAGCTACTGATCTGAGTCTTGCTTTAACATAAATGCAAAAAAAAAGAAGTTAGTTGGTGCTAAAGTGAGACGAAAAGCTAGAAAAGTAACTTCAATTGCTAGCCCAGTACTCGGAATCCGTATCACTGCTTATCTTGCTTTTTACAGTACCATTCTGTTTCTGTGTGAGCTTAGGCAACTTTCGAATGACTAATACTTATTTTTCTACTGCTATGGTCCATACCAATACCGAAAAAATTATTTTCAACTTATTTGAACAGTATAACCCCTTTATTTAATACTTTTTCTTTTTTGTAACCACTCATTATTTCAGGCTGCATTCCAACTACTAAGATTCTTATGATTTGATTGCACAACGTTCATATAGGGTAAACGCGGTATATTCCGACATCGTGGGTAATTCCGTCACCTCTCTAGTTTTTCCTTTATATTAAGCTTTGTTTTAGTTCCATGCGTTCGTTGATGGTTGAAATTGTGACGTCATACATTTGCGCGCCAAACTACTGCCAAAACACTAGGCCTTGGCCATCTAGCGGGAAAATATTGAGATCCAAAGAGAGACAATGCACACTACCCAGTGAGATCATCGAAAAATGTGTCAAATTTGACAGTTGACCTTGCACTACCAAATAGTGAATAACTGTTTGTATAGGAAGAATATTATGGTTTGAGACTTTTAAATACATCTGTGAATATATCAGGAATCCTTTAAGTATACCTACTTGTATTTGCTGATTTCAAGTGGTAAATAAATTAATAGATGATTAAGTTGAGAAATGGATTTAGACACATGAAAACTAATTCCGTCACAACTTGAATTGGACACACACAGATCGTTCCAAACTGTGTACAAAAATTAAATTTTGCTTAATTAAAAGCTTAATAGTCGTTAATTAAAAGCGTAATTAAGTAGTGTTCAATATTCATTAGTGTTCTAATTCAAAGCCATGTTGTATTCCAATGCAGCTCACACAGCAAACGGAATTTGAACACGTGGATGACGGCATTACGTATCAGTAGAATTTGAAGCGCGGACGGAATATGCCTCACCACGTGCCGAATATAGCCACACACAGTGACGGAATATAGGGATTTTGTAGGTTTGCATTCTAAAGGCTTTTAAATAAATATGGCAACATTTTGTGACGTTTCGTCGTTGCTGACGCGTACTGCGGTGTTTTGAGAGTCACATAAAGCAACATGGTGGCAGGGAATTATTGTGAGTACTTATCGGTTCACCGCCGTGCGGCAGTCTTAACCCATCGGAAGGCCCCATGCCCTTGGCCCTTGGGCCCCTCTTGGGCAAGTTGCAATCTAAACTCAACGGTTTGACCCCATGGTCTCATCACAACTCCCTTTAGAAATATGTGGAGTTTCGAAATTGATATAAATAAATCAATAAATATTTGAACTGGGGGAAATCCCTTAGTTACTTACGTTGGTTCCAGAATGATATCAATGACGTAAAAAATGACAATGACATTGGTTAAGCCTCAGCCATGATTCTAGCTCTGCTTAGTCCTTACACTTCTACCTCGTAATTCATGATGTTAGAACTTCAATGTTCATATGTTGACACTACAGTCAAGTGTCAATATCACAATCAAAATTATTTCACAATCAGAAATATGTTATAATATCACAATCGAAAATATTATTCACAAATAACCATCGATTTCAATGCAAAACTCCCATCTTCACTGCTTTGTTTACATATGGGTAGCGGTGACGTCACACACAAGAACACGTGGTAGCTACTACATAGCTACATCGATTGTGACAAAAAAAATGCTCTATTTTGCTGCCCTACAAACAAATAAATGTAAATAATTAGTAATGGAAAAGTTTTTATGGAACATTTTGAGAGACTGTGCCTAAGCAGAATACAATATTAATAAATTATTAGTGAAGATACTAACAATGAAGTAGTTCATTTGATGGCCGCTGCTAGCGCTGGCATCTGAATACGGGCGTGCCACCTTTGTTAAGAATTCGAACAATTCAATATCTCACTGCAACACAAGTCAATACATTTAAAAAATTAGTAATGGAAAATATGTTGCTGGAACACTTTAAGAGACCGGACCTAAACAGAATACGATATTATTATATTATTAGTGAAGACTGAAGATACTAACCATTAAGTAGTTAATTTGTTTGCCGCTGCTAGCGCTGGCATCTGTAATATGTGAAGCTTCTATGGGTAATTTTACTTCTATGGGTACAACAACAACTTCTATGATCAATTTGAATCATAAACATTTACCTAATGCAAGAAATTAGCAATCAATAATTCAAGGTTATTTTGTAAGTTTTGTAACAAGGGAAGACTACATTAAATACGTATTGGCAAGTAAATGGCAACTTATGCTAAAAAAATGCACTGAAACTGCAAACAGCTGTGACAGAAGGTGCCAGAAAGTGCCATCGATTCATTTGTCATTTTTTATTTCAAATCGCTTTCAGTTCTTTGGACTAGGAGCGTAAATTTCAGTGTAAAACCTATTAAAAGTTTAAGTTTCTATGTGGATTTTGATGCTGTTAACATTTAAATACTTGAAAGTATCTCTGATGCAAGAAATACTGGCTAAATACATTTTAATTTAGAAATTAACATCAATCAAAATTACCATTGTTCTGGGCTATGTTGGTTCTTGCAACCGATTTTTGCATCCAGTCGCTTATAATGAAAATAAAATTGTTTAAGCAAGTATTTCTTGCATTAGAGATACTTCAAAGTTTGTTAATGTTAACAGCATTATAATCGATGCAGAAACGTTTATTTTTTATATAGATATTAAAAATTTAGGCTCTTTGACTCGTATACTATGGCCCTATGGGTCTAGGATTTCAAATGGATGCATGTGTTCAAATTCAAATAAGGCCCGCCCAGTGGGCAGTGGGCGCCGGGCGCCCACTGCCAGTGTCAGCTCAGCTGACGAACCGCCCCTCACTTCAGAAGCAAGAAAGCTTTTGCCGGGTAAGGTTGTGACGTTGTGTTACATGATCGGTCCTCGGTCCGTAAAGAAGTGTCGATCGGTTCAAAAATGACATAAGACCAGGTTCTTTTGAATAACCTATAGAATTGCACCATGTAAAAAGCAAACAGAACTTGAGTAACGCATATGGTTATTTTTTTATAGTTTTTCATAATAATTTCATTTCTTGATGTGTCCTTAATGTGACGGAATATACCGCGTTTACCCTAGGTTTTTGAAAACATTGTCAATTATTTGTCATATTTTTCACAAGTTTTTGATCTGGCTGGTATTTTAAAGAGCTTTTTTTAAAAAACTAAATTTTTTAAGCGTGCACCATATGTGGCGCACATCGCAGTTTGGGACATGCATGCGTGTACCATATATATATGGCGCACATCGCAGTCAAAGTGTTAAATTAGCATCCATGACTGATCATTAACTATGGATCAATCATCCATGATTGATAGCACTGCTGGAATTCTAAGAATGGAAGTTCACTTATAAAAAAGCTTTCCACCCAAGATGAAAAGCTTTCCTTGGATACAGTGCTCTGCCAGCCTGCCAGTGCCAGCCTGCCAGGAGACTGACTAAGTGACTATAAATGAAAAGGAGGACCAAAAGTGGACAAAATGTTTCAATTGTATAGTACATTAGATTTGTAATAGAATTATTCTGATGTCTCTTGTTTGATAGATATTTTTTATTTGTCTTTTATTTACTGGATTTTTTTTTAAATTTCCAGGCCTTTTGTTTGTAATGATCAAGTTTCAGTTAAGTATTTAGTTAACCAGTACTGTATTACATATAGTCCATACTCCATAGTGCCATCATGCCATGATAGTGGCAAAGCAGAGAGTTTTTAGACTCTCCCTCAAGTTCATTTGTGAGTCCTATAAGTAGACCAGTAAAGTATCCTGGATACCAGCAGTATCATACATAAGAAATTGATTTAAATCTTGGGTAAATGAGGAAATTAAAAATGAACTGATTCTAAAAAATCTGTGGTTTGCCACTATGT